AGAGTGTTGCCAGCAGGTCGAGGGAGGTGATCGTCCCTCTCTACTCATCCCTGGGGAGGCCTCACCTGGAGTACCATGTCCACTTCTGGGCTCCCCAGTCCAAGAGAGACATGGCACTACTGCAGAGAGTCCAGCGGGGGGCTACGAAGATGATGAGGGGACTGGAGCATTTCTCCTCTGAAGAAAGGCTGAGGGAGCTGGGCCTGTTGAGCCTGGAGAAGAGAAGACTGAGAGGCGATCTCATCAATGTGTACAAGTATCTGAAGGGAGGGTGTCAAGAGGATGGGGCAAGTCTCTTCTCCATGGTGCCCAGTGACAGAACAAGAAGCAACCGGGCACAAACTGAAATACAGGAAGTTCCACCTAAACCTAAGGAAAAACTTCTTTCCTGTGAGGGTGGCTGAGCACTGGAACAGGTTGCCCAGAGAGGTAGTGGAGTCTCCTTCTCTGGAGATATTCAAAACCCACCTGGATGCGATCCTGGGAAATGCACTCTAGAGGATCCTGCTTGAGCAAGGGGGTTGGACTAGATGATCTCCAGAGGTCCCTTCCAACCTTGGCCATTCTGTGAAACTTATGTTATCCAGCAAAACCAATGTTTCCCTTTACTCTTGTTACCAGGCCCCTTTTATGCTCTTTCTTTCATGCCATTATCTGTAAGGTTAGCTTTTGGTGGCGTGCAGGAGGGGGAGAAAAAGAAGCCTGTACTCTATATGTTATTTTAACAAAACACTTAGACACATGGGGTTTTTTAAAGTACTATCTCAGAAGTCAACAATCCAGACTCCATGGAATTTATTTCTGAATTTCAGATTAAGTCTAATGGATGAATTCCAACAATAAGTCATGAGAGGATTAAACTATTTCATTGTATTAAACCATAAGCCTATAAAGTTATTGAGAGCCTACAGCTTAATATATAGCCTGCTTCTGAGTAGCTGATGAACAATAATTAAAGCAGCAATACAGATCAGTCTTACATTTTCAGCCCGTAACATTTCTACTTCCCTAACAAATTCAAGGGTTTTTCTATTTATAGAAATCAGATCTCAGAACCAAAGACCCACCACAGCACAAGTACAAAATTATAAGCACACCTCCTGCCTTGCAGAGCTTACCATTTACAGCTTCCATATACTTGGGGGGTCAGGTGGAAGCAGGGAAATACTCAGACCCAAAGAACTAGTTATTCATTTGGCAACAGGTGTATGAAACCAAAAGTACTTTAACCTCACTATTGTACAATGTCAAACATGCAGAAGCCAACCAGAAAATTAATCTACTAATAACACAAATGCTTTGACTACTGCCAGTTAATAATGACAGATTCCAGACCTAGGATCAGTTTTATTTTGGCCAAATAAAAATCTTAAGTAATGAAACATTAAGTCTTCCCCCCTTCCCCCCCCTTTTTTTTTTTTTAAATTTCATGGTTTAAATAGCACCTGCTTTTAAGCCTTTGTAATTAGATCAAGAAGAGGTAAGGGCTGACAGATCACAAAATGGAAGTGAATTCCCAGAAGTGTAATTGTATCTCTAGGGACATGAAACATCAGTTGCTACCACTAGCTTTGATGGTATGCTGTGCCATTCTTATTCTGCTCCTGTTAAAAAGAGGGTAGCTTTGGCTCTTTCCTCTCTTGGGTTTAAAGAAACAACTTCTACAGGAATGAAGCGTTAATTCAAAGTAACTTTGAGTTAGTTGGAATTTCTCAGCAATACTAGCTTTACTGTTTTAACAGTTTCACAGCATTTTGGGTTACCTACTATAGCTATGCAGGAATCAGGCAAGAACAAGGGAAATAATTAACATTATTTTAATGTACATATTTAAGAGAAACAATTGGGAAAATAATATAATCTTACAAAGTTAAGACTTTGGACTCAAAATCAAAGTTATCACTGACAAAAATATCTTTAAAAATATCTGAAATCCACGTCCATATACTTTTCAACTCACCTTGTCCAATATAGACATGAAAAAAGTGATGTTTGAAAAAAAACCCTGTTTTTACCTGTTTCTATCTAATACCTATAGGGCAAAATGAAAGCTACTTTTTTTTTTTTTTAAATAGGAAAACACACATCTCCCTGAAGCAGCTGTATTTTGTTCAATCAGGTCAATGAGTTCTAGATAAGATAAAAGGAGCAAAGCATAAGAGCGAGCAGGGAATGAACAAAAGAATACACAAGGCTGCAGTAACACAGTAGAAAGTCTTCATTTAGACATAGGAAAAGCCTGGTGATCCTTTAAAGTAGAACACGACAAAAGCAGCTGCTTACAGACCAAAATCAGATCAACAGAACTCATGGGATTAAGAGGACAGGAGCTGTATCTG